CACTCTTCACAAGGCTGGTGAAGACTAATACTCTCGACGTGACATGCGGACATGCAGCCCTGCCTCCTCATTGCTGAGAAGGAGCTGTGGCAGCAACCAGGCTCTATGAGGACAGTTTTCTTCGAGAAAACTCAATGTAGCAAGAAATGCGCATGCCCATACCAAATGGCAGCAAACTTATGATATAGCCCCTGCATATAACCTATATTCTAATTAATACTCTGCATCATCTAATCAACAGAAATCTTCTGGCACATGCGGTCTGGTTTGCAAACTATTCAGCGGAGAGGCTTTTTGAGCCTCTCCACAGATCAGGGTAATTAAGCAAAGCTGCTGGAGGGGCTTCCCTCTGCCGACTCTTCAGCGCTGGGAAGGGGAACAGTGCTTGAAAAAAGTGGCAACCTCTGGCAACCTCCCCCAGCCCTGGAAGGCTCTCTGGAACAGAAAGGGGAAAAATCCTCTCCTTTGCTGCTGCTGTGGAGCTGGTCTCTCTCCCGCTGTCTCCCTGCCAGCGCTGAAAGCCCATCCTGCTTCCTCGCGCTAAGCGCACCGTCCGGCCGGCAGCAGATGCATCGCGGCAGCGGGACCGTGCAACTCCAGAGCCTCTCCAGCAGCCCCTCCAGTAGGAGAGCACAGCTCTCTGCACAATATGCTGTGGGGGAGGAGGAAGGAAGGACTTTGGCCCTGCTTGCTTGTGCTAATTGATGGCTTCTGTTACAGCTATTCACACTTTCAGAAAATGGTAACAAGGATACAGATTTAGAAGCAGAGAAGAAAAACCCAGCAGCCTCACCAGCACAGCGGGAGAAAGCAAAACTGCGTGCAGAGCGCTCCACAGAGGTGCAGGGAGCAGGAGGAAGGACCCAGCTACAAGCCTCGAGCTCTACAGAAGCACAGAAATCCCAAAGTGAGTCCTTTGGCTGTGGGCGTGCAGCTCCTGCCCACCTGGCCCAGCCATGCTGCAGGCCTGGCCTCCACCGCACCGCAGAGGTTCTATCTCTGGCCTCAGTGCTCTCTGTGTGCAGGCACGAATCTGTCTGGGAGAAGAAATTGCAGATATCTGTCTTTGGGGAAAGCTGTGCACTTGCCTCTTCTCTTTGCTCCCAGATATTGTCTTCTCCTGCTGGGAGAGCACTGTACCTTGCTTAGCAGTTTACATGGTGAGTCTCTACTGCAAGCCGGAGGTGTGATCACAACACGCCTGGGTGAAACCCTGCTTGCTTTAATTTAGCTAGCTGAGATATTAATTTCAGAGCAAGAGTCAGCAGTGCACACTTCGGAGCCCTGGCCTGATGGGCTGGCACCGCCTGCAGTGTTCCTGTGTTCTTGGCACCAGGGCATCGCAGCACGGAACAGGAGAGTCAGACTGGGCCTCATGCAACAGGCACCATGGACAAAGCACAGTGCAACCCAAGCATTTCAGTAGTGCTCCTCTCCCACCTGGGCACCCTGCAGGGCCTGGTGTATCCCTGCACCCAGCAGGCTCTTGGCTGCTGAGGCCATCATTGTGCAGCAGGCAGCAGAGCTCTGCCCGCTGCCCTGGCCACAGCAGCTCTTCAGAGGGGCCCTTCACCTCCTGTGTCAGTCCTCTACACCCTTCTCATGATTCACATCTGGGTGCACGCAGCCTCGTGATTTCTTTTGCTGAGAAGGTCGCTCAAGTATGTGTTTAGTAGGAGACCTTTCTATTTCTAACGTACAGGAACCTCATTAAAAGTCAGAAGACCAATGCAAAATAATAAATGAGATGTTTAGTCATAGGTCTCCATCGCATTCACATTATAAACAGCTCAGAAATGATTTCTACTCCTGAGATAAGATTTAATTGTAAATCACAGAAAATGATGTGATATATATTGCCTGGAGCAGGGTGGTAAACAGATTTCTGGGTCTTGAGGGAGAAAATAAAGCAAAGCATGTATCAGAACAGAGGTTGGCCCCGAGCACAACTCAGCCAAACAGCATTTCAGCCCAGGCTGCCTCTGCATTCCAGAGAAGGTCCTCAGCCCTGTGGGGCTCTCTGCTCCTAGGGATATGGAGGGGCACCTTCCTGCTGAGATTTATCGCTATCTGATGCTTTGCTACGAGGTTTTTTTCTGATGAAACTGCTTTTATTCCAACTTAAGCTGTTCCTTAGGCAGCATGAGACCAGATCGCAACTTAAATGGCAAATGTACAGCAGTAACTTTCCTAGCTGCAGAAGGTGATATAGACAAATCTGTTGCTGATACCAGCAAGCACTGAGCCGAGCCCCTGTTTCTCATTTGGAGTGCATTGCTGTGTCTCCTCTGACATGTTTCTTCGTAGCACTGAAAAGAGGCACTTGGAGAAACAGCTTTGCTACTCACGGGAAGCTTTGATTCCAGTGCTGTAGTAGGCAATCGGCAGAAATCAAAGAGAGTACATGCTTTTCCAATGCAGGAAGAGGAATTATCAATTTATTTGAAGCAATGGAAATAGTTTACTTCATTGGCTTACCTGTTAGCCTGCTCCTGGAGGTGGAAATCTACTTAGGGCAAATGCTTAGGCTTTTTGCACCTTTATTTTCTTTGTTTCAACCATCTAGTGAGATCAGAATGCTGGTGGAGTCACCGTTGGTCCTCCAGATGGTGCATTCCCCAACTGTCAGCTACCCTGAGACTTAGCTGCAGGGATGTGGCCATGCTGAGGTAGGGCAGCAGCTCCACAGCCTGCTGCTTTACCAAGCTATTAACCATGGTGAGGAAGAGATGGGTAACTTGGACAGAGATGAGGCAGGTGATAGGGCTGAGGCTGCACCGCCAGAGCTTACCTACATGTGGTGAGACCTACATGTGGTGAGAAGCAGACTGCTCTTGCACCTCTTGGCCCCTGCTTTCAGTGTAATTTGCTATTATTTATGTGCTCCTTTGCATGGTGATTCTCTGTAGGTTCACATATATGATGCATACTGAAATGTTATACCATAGCTGAGGGCAAGATTTAAGTTCGATGTTTTGAGATGTAACGCATCTGTCTTCCAACACGTGGAGAGTCATAACACTGAAGTGGGGTGGCTCTGCCCTGGCCATGTTCACCCAGGTACCCAAGTGAAACAGACCAGCTGCAGCCTCCTCATTACCTCTCTCATGGGCTCACCCGGCTCCAGACAACATTGCAACTTTTTCACTAACTGGAAATACGAATCTTGCTCTATCCATTAGTTACTGTATATGCAGTTTGTATATATAATATTTATATTTTCCCCCCAAAGTTGTGAAATATATAAAATATAATTCCTCTAGCTGAGAGCTCATCATTCCCATGACAAGGTGCAATCAATAAATTATGCACCACTTGCGGTTATTCTGCATGTCAACTCATATTTCCATGTCGCTGTCCTGACTGTTACTGAGTGTTTGTGTTGTTGTACCTTTCCACCTCCTCAGTGTTGATTTAGGAGTTATTATTCTGGGCTCATAGTAAGTGCAAGAAAATCAAGTTCCAAGTGTTTCTGCCAAAAGAAGGAAATGAAATGAGCAAGTCAACAGAAAATTCCACTTGTCAAACACCATTTGCTTACGACTGTGGCTTTGTTAAGGAAACTTGCATTCGGACAAGCTGCACGAAGTCAACAATTTGTCTTTGCATCAGTATAACCCCTGTGCCCAGGGAGGACTCTTGGTCGTGACAGCTGTGGTACTCGAGTGAGCGCACAGCAAAAAACCAAAGCCACTTCTGACACTTACAAATTATGTCTTCTGAATAATGCATGGCGCATCCAGATTGGCTGTGGGAGGGGGGAGGGGGGATGCTTTTTCAATGGACAACCAGACGGGTAAGGATTGTATTCTAAGAAGAGTTTGACATACCAAGAAGGGGGAAAAAAAGAAGCCCAAGTACTCGCACACACTATGAGATTGACTGTCAAATCATTTCACATCTGTACCTAAAGCAAACAGACATAATGCTAACAGCTTGCTGGAGCTCAGAAATGCCACCCACTAATCAGTCCACCTGTGGAATTCTCAGTCCATCTTGCAAGCCGTGTACCCGATTGCCAAGACGCCTGACAAGAAGATGTATATTAAAATGTTGAGTAAGACTGGAAATACAATGTGGTGTAGTATAAACAGAATGCACTCGCCGGGCGGCAAGCGGAGACGCCTTTTTATTCCTGGCGTGATGACCCAGCACTGCTGGCTGCCGCCGGCGCTGAGCGGAAGGGTTGGCCAGCCGACCCAATGGCATGCTCTCCTCCTGCCCACAGTCCTGTCTCACTCTGATTTTGCACAAAAATAAACCAAAAAATACCCTCCAACTCTTCGTCTCTCTTGATTACTTTTTTTTTTTTTTTTTTTTTTTTTTTTGGTGCATGTGTATAATTAACAATTGCTTAAATATCAGTGTCCACAGGAGAAGTCTCGGCAAAAAAAAATACCCAGGAATAATCTCGCCTGTGCAATGAATGCACCCTTCGGGGTAAGACAAAGAGGTAATTCAAAGGAATGGGTGATTGAGATGGTGTGCGTTGCGTGAGCGCGATTCTTCGCAACTAAATTGCATTTAGGATTACAGCATCGGATCGCCAGTTGTTATTTAACACACTGGCAAAATGATCGTTTTGCTCTTTTCATCTCCGAAAGGAATATAAAGGAATGAAAGGAGAAAGTTTACTGGGGTTGTCAGAGGAGGAACGGGGGGCTGGGGGATGCTGTGGGGCAGATAATTATCCCCTGCAGCACACCATCAGAAGGTTACGCCATTTGCGGTGCAGAGGGAGGCGACGTGGCACAATTAGGCTCTTCAGATATTATTTTCTATATGTCCCAAGCTCTTAGATTTGCACAGTAGCTGTTCTCCCTATCTGTGAGTACAAAACGCTATTTTAACATCTGTTCTTTTAAGGCTATTTGCTCTGGGAAGGCAGTGTGTTTTGCCATAAATTTAGGTCATTAATTTGTATCTGCTCTTTGTTTATTTAAGAAACAGGACAAAAGGGCAGCTGCTGAACCATTTGGCTGTGCCGAGGGGTAGTGGGCTCGACGTGCTGGAGCTCTGCGCACGACCAGCTTGAGTTTGCACCCGCAGCTACAGGACACAACTTTATGGAGAGACTCTGCCAAGCTGCACGGCGCCGCCCCGAGAATCGCCAGAGCATGGCCTGTGGTGAAACACGAGCCCAGGGATCTGCACAGGAACGCCGCCGGCACTGGCACTGCTGTTGGGCTTGAGGCAGCTTTTTAAAAGAGGTTTGCAAAGTGATGATATTTTACTGCCTTGACTCGAGGTGCTGCTGTTGGCTACCAAAGGTAATGCACTACGAGCAAAAATGACCGGTATAATTAGACATTTATAAACAGAAGCACACTAATACCTCGTAAATTGTTTGTTAACCACATTTAATGCTCTTAAATTGGCCATTAAGTGCAGAATAATTTCTGGGATATTATTGATATTATGAAGCATTAAAGAGGTTTTATTTATTCTCATAAGCCTAATGGACTCAAACAAATTGATTGTGTTCAAAAAGGTCATTTTTTGCTTGTTGATTCTGTGACATCTTCTAATCAGTTTAATCAGATCAAAGAGAAAAATTGCGTAAGTATTTTGAAGCATGCTCTGTTTCCAGCTTCCCACTAGAAACAAATGCACGCACTTCACAAAGCCCTGCTTTACCAGCTAGGCATGAATAGCCCAAGCACACAGTTCAAGTCAGATGCTAAAAAAGAAGCACCCGTGTGCATAACTCGCTTGCTACACATCTCCTGCAGGCTGGCTGGCATGCAGCACTGATTTTCAGTGGGCACAGCATCTCACCCCTCCTCCAGAGAAGATATGTGTCAAGTAAGGTACAATTCAATAGGAGGAATATTACTGAAATGTGTTACCCAGTAAGTAATTCAGGTCTGGTCGGGCTTCTTGTGGAGATGACAGTTGGTCTCATTGCAGCAGCATTAGACCCAATTTGCAGAACTGGTTTCCAAGCCTAGGCTCAGTATATTCTACACTGACACTGATCTTTAGAAAAAAGAAATTAATGACAGTACTTCTGACGGTGCAAAATATGTCTCATTGCCATTTGTGTTTGGCAAAGAATTTCTCTGATCTTCACTGGGTCTTTAGATGCAGTAAATCTTCAAGGGCTTTGGGTGCCCAGACACTCATAGCAGCTCCCAAGGGCAGATTTTTAAACCAATTTAGGCTTTTGCTTCCTTAATCAGTGGGAAGGAGCACCTAAATGTCTTTATAAATCTGTCTCTGAATCATGCACAGCTGAGGAGCATACTATTTAGCAAAATCCCAGAGAAACTATTACAAGGGGGTTGAAATCAAAAGTGTCTTAGGGAAGCAGTTGGAGTTAATCCAGCAGTTTGCAACAGATCCACCATTTCAGATAATGAGTCCAAGGAACACTTCTTAGTTTGCTCATATTAAATCCTTGGTCTTAGAGTGGTCCAATTGGCAACCTCTGGTTTGGGAGAGTTGCTGTCTGATGAGTGCCTCAGGGTGAGGGCCATGGCATGCTGCTGCCTGCCCCAGTCATGTGGGTTCGTTCCCTGTGCCAGGCTCCTCAGCTCACCCCTGGGCAGATCAATTACACAAAAATGTATGGATCTAATATAAAAATGCTGATGGGCTAATGCTGGCTCTGCAGCCCTGAGGGTTTGGAGGGCTTCTTGTTACACCCTCCAGGACAGACATTCTCTGTGGTACGACTCATTTTTATCTGTCCAGATACTCTGATAAAGCAGAGTAAGAGGCAAAATACATCAGAGACAGAAGGGTAAATGAACAGCCCAGGAATTCAACCTAAATTCATCAAACTTTTGTGAAATCAGGGCCCTCGGGAATACACAAGCATTCTGGTAGTGATATGGACAATCACCACCATGTGCTTTAAATTTAATTTTCACAATGAATAATTATTTCCACGTTTCAAGTAAGGCAGCTATTCCGCCTTTGTAACTCAGAGGCTAAAGCCTGCGATTCTCTTACCGAATAACACTCCTACTGAATTGTGGATAAGGTTGGGTTTGGGAAGCAAATTAAATATGGCACGATTGAGAAGCAGGTCTTCAATCAGAGCTGGAAAAATGAACAGTGCATGCCATATGATGCTGTGCTTATTTTTTGAAAGAATGGACTTCTCTGTTTGAAGCATGTCAAAACTTCATTGTAGCTCTCTGGGCTTACTTCAGGTAGAGGGGAAAGTAGCAGCTGCACTGGGAAGACGAAATGCCCAAAACAGAAAGACTAATATTTCATTCAAATGCAACAGGTGGTTTGTTGGAGGTGGCAGAAGAAGTTCTTGTGTGAGCTGGGAACTCATTTTCTGTTTATTACAGTCCAGAAAGCAATGTGCTTTGCACATGTAACCCCTCTGCACTTTTAAGTTCCCCATCTGTAAAATAAGAGCAGCAAAATGGAATACTTGACTTTCTAAAATGCTTTGGTGTCTCCAGCACTGCGTGTGCATGGAAATACATGAACAAATGTGCACATGAGATTTTTTAATGAATGAGAATACGCATCACAAAGTTATATTACTTGAAAAAAAAATACAATTGCATTTGTATTCCAATTTGAGTTTTACTCATGCTATCTTCATACAAGTATTCCTTTCTACATATATCCCACCATCTTTTCTATGCCGTTTTAATGGACTGAAATGTCTGAGTAGACTATTTATTACAATCCAAAGTCACTGTCTCTTCGGTTACAAAACTTGAAACTGCCTAGTTGGAAAATGCTGGAGGGAAGAATGATTATAGAATAGCAATAAAGAGTGATTCCACTGAATTCTGTGTAATTCTGCTTCAAAATCACTGTTACAGAAGAGAGATGCTTGCTGAAAGTATCCTGCCCTTTTCCCTTTCTGCTAACGTTCTGCACATTCTTCCACGAGCATCAGGAGATTATTCTGTAGGAACTATTTCATGTTTTCTTACTATTTTAAATGGAATTAATTGCATTTGACGAGAGGACCCCACTCTATTTGCATACCCAGCTCTCTCTGAAACAAGAGTGAATTTGGCTAGCTTTTTTGGGAACAGGTCATGCTCCTACATAATTATATTTTTTTCTTCAAATCAGTATATTTTTCATCAACGACACTTCACAACAGGGAAGAACGGGTGTCAGGTTTCAATCTCATATGTTCTGTAATTTTACATTCTGTGGCAATGCCCACGGTGCTGGAATAATTTGAAACAGAACTACAATCTTTCCAAGTTTTGTAGAATAAATGTTTAGAATTGGTAAGAGTTTTGAAATGCAAATGTCAAAATTCTCTCGAACAGTATGTGATTAATTCTTGAAGTACTAACAATGCTTGCCTGTACATGGAATTAGTGGTGGGGATGGAGATAAGATACCAGCGGGCAAAAGAAATGCAGGTGCACTTTCGAATGGTGAACCTGCAAAGCTCTTTAGTTAAAAACAGTGAATGAACCCCTGGAAAAAAGGGTTGCCAAGACTTCAACGGGGTGACTCCTGATAACAGTAGCCCACAGAAATCAGCCTGGTACATGTCTGCCAAGGAAAGCCCAGGGACTGCCTTACCGGTCATGGCCACAAAAATCCAGGCTTCAACCAGGGACCTCGCACAGGCAAGGTCAACAGCTCAGAAAAAGCTTTTGTCTCACCCCATTACGGAGAAAGTCAGTGATGGGTGGTTTGCTGCTTACGGTCTTGTTCTGCATTAGGAGTACAGAGGCCCCAACCTCCTCCCCCGCCTACACAGCTTGATACCTCTTGCACTGCCTGCAGTGGCTGGGTTTCACTCCCCTGCACCACTTAGTGCTGAAACTCTGGGAGAAGAAGTCCTATGGCCCTAAGTGTCTTGCAAATGGCCAGAGAAGCAAGATTGGGGCTGAAGACATGGAGGCTGCACACAACCAAAAGAGGAGAGATGGCATGTGAAGAGCAACAAGACCTCCTGGCCATGGAGCCTTGGAAGAGATCCCCTGCTGCCTATGTTCTGCACCAGATGCAACCACAGGTAAGCCCATGCCCAGGAATTTCAGAGTTGGAAGTCTGAGAAGCAACCCAAACTGGTATCAAGGATCACAAGAGGCTTTAGTTTCTTTTTTAACTGGACTGCTGCCATCAGTCCTTGCAGGGTACAAGGACTCGCGGAAGTGTCTTTTATGACTTCACTTCATTTAACTTTCCTTCATTCTCCTTCAACTGCAACACCAGAAAGTCTCTCCCAGTGTTGTTAATGTATTCCCATTACGCTTCTGTTAGCAACAACCACTACAATGAGTACCATATTATATCCTCCTTAATAGAGTGTTTGGCCTCCAGAGGCCATTTGCTAGCAGCATCTCAGAAGCCATTTGTTAGCAGTGTTCTCTGGAGATGCTGCTGGGGCCAGCAGCACCCATCTGGATATTAGAAGGAAAGTGTGGGAAGCACCCCAGTTTTGCTGCTGTGCCAAATATCTTTTCCGTTCCTGTCCCCTCTCCTACTTCTCATCTTAGAGATCTCACTTAAAACTGAGATGGCTTGAGTCTGAGCATTTGTGCCTAGCCCTCCCATTTGGTTTTGTCAGTTTGCAGAAACAGAGGACAGATCGCAAAAATCGCCTACGGATTTCCTCCAAGTGTAGTGGGATTTGGATTTCCAAATTCGTTTTAATCCTAATTCTATTTTAGCTCAACAGTTTCTCCATTTAATACTTACTACAACTGTAAAAAAAAAAAAAAAAAAAAAAGGTTGCGTGGCAGATAGAAACACCCTTTTATGCTTTCTTCTACAATCATTAAATAAAAATATTTGGTAATATTAAGGTGGGCAGTAAGTTGGTGTTAGGTCTGGCTGAGGTGAACCCAATTAGTGGGACTGTTTGCTGGGAGCACCAGCTCCGGAGACTGGGGCTGGATTCCCTTCTTGGTAATGGACCTGCTGTATCACACGCTGCTTAGCTCTGCCTAAAGGGCTCCACTTTAAGATGAAGCCAGTTAATGCAACCTTTCAAACACAGAGATCATCTTCTGTAAATATAACATTTGTCATCTAAAGGCTTCAAAAAACCTTTTTACTTCTAGTAAAGAGTGTTCAGTGTAAGTCTCAAAAGAACTACATTAAAGCTAAGTTGGTACTATTATCTACAAACACTAGCTTAAATGAATAATCTTGTAAGCTGCGTGCAGTTTACTTTATTGAAATCCACTGCAAATGTGCTCCAATCCTTGATATCTATACACGAAAGATCACAAATTGTTTTTTTCATGTTTAAGTTTGAAAATGCAAATTCTACATTTTTAAGTCCTTCAATTTGTTCCATGGGGATTTTTCTACTCTTTTGATATTTACAGTGGCTTTTCAGGAGTAGAGGATCTGTCTCTCTGACGGTAAAGAGAAAATGGTTCGTGTGACATGAAGCTTTGTTAAATGCATAAAAAAGCTGCCTGAATTAATTACTCTATTTTGCTTACACGAAAAGCAAAACCAGTGATCTCAACTATTTCTTTAAAGCACAAAGAGGAAAAAGATGGTTCAAGTGTAATATTGCTGTAATTCTTTATCTGCCTAACTGTGGCTTAATACAACAGGATTCATCCAAAACATGGAGGTGTCCTAACTACAACTACCAACATTACTTCAATGAAGACATTTTCAGGAGTGCAGTCTATTTTTGACAATGACATAAGTGCAGGATAATTTAAATTAATATAGAAGATCCTTTGGGGGCCTATATTTTTTAATTGCCATTACACAATGAATAGTTGATACCTACATTTGGCATATAATGAGGATTAAAATGATATTCCCCAAACGGAGTTTTAATAACAATGTAAACTACCGAGAACTTCATTACAGCAGCTGAGGGATTAGAAACGAGATTTGAAGGTGACCAAAGGGAAAATCAGAAACATCAAGCACTTCTTCTAATCGAAATTGCCTTATTTAAAATAAGACACACAGAACTGATGCACCTCAGTCGAAGTGCTAAATCTTCGACATCCCCACATGGAAACTCAGCAGCCACAGCCCCTCTCCCAGAGGACAGCTTTGTCAGAGCGTGGCTCTGGAGCAGTGCTAAGCCCCATGGGGGTGCCTTGCCTTGCTGGACCTTCAGATGTCATCCTCTACAGCTTTTGCTATGCTTCGTGATACCTATGGCACTGGTGGCTCAGCTGCCCAGACCCACATCCACATAGATCTGCAGATCTCCAAAGAAGGAGAATCCACAGCCTCTCTTCCAGCATCAGGTAAAAATGAAAAGGAAAACCCATTTGCTTCCAAAGCCAAAGCCTTCCCAGAGACATGCTCAGGACCTGGCCCTTCATCAGAAGCTGCTGATGGGATCCCTGTGCAACAGGATGAGGCAGTGAGGCCATTTCCATCAGTGAGTCCCTCCCTGCAGCAGACCAGTCCCCCTCTGGGCATCTCAAGTAATGACCAGTCCTGCAGTATATGTAATCATTCCCAGACCCAAATGCAGCCAAGGTGTCTCACAGGCTTCTCTCTTCGCCTCTCACAAAGGCTTTGAGGAGGCTCACATCCCTTGAACACATTTCCTACCACATAAATATGTCCAAGTACACGCCTGTCTCTTCATGAGCAGCTGCAGCAGTTTGGGAAGATGCGTCACTTCACTAAGAAGCTATATATATATGTATCCATACATTGATATGTATGGTATGTATTTTAGTGTATTTATGCTCTGTATGTATACATATATATATTTGTACATAGGTATGTGTATGTGTATTTGTCCGTATGCATTCAGTTGTGTTCTGGGAAGTGCATTCAGCTCTGATTGCAATGTTTCAGGTCTAGAAATGAATGATGTACCTGCAAAGTGCAGAGTAGTGCCTCCTCTCTGCTCTGATTGCTTTTGTTTTCACTCCTTTATTAATCATCTCCTGCTGATATGTGGGAGGAGATTCTGATGATGAATATGTGTTAAATAATTTGCAAGCATTCATTTTTGTCCTGGTTTTCCAACGTGTTAAACTGGCATAAATATTGGCAGAATTTCCTTTAATCCTCCAAGGGATCCCTGCTTGCTCTCAGTCCTGAGCCCTAATCTCTGTAACATGTTGCTGGGTCAGTTACCCCAAGATGAAGGGCATGCATCCTTGCCTAATGCATTTTCTTTCTCTTTCCCCTTTGCCAACAGGGGCTGAGGCAGGAGAACTGCCCCCCTCCCTCTTCTCTCATCAGACAAATCCAGCTCCCACCCTGCACAGAGGGGAGAATGCATTGAGTAGCTAGATTTTTTTGGACATGAAGTAGTGTCTTTGTGGGTCCCTAATTCACCCTTCCAAGTCTCATAATTGCCAACAGAGGTCTTTTTTCCTTCTCATAATGTACAAAATGATCTGCCCTTTTATGATTGCCTTGAGAATATCCCACAAAGCTGACGGTGAGGGAGCAGATGCCTCATTCAATTCCAAATAGAAGGAAATCTGTTGTCTCAAATAATCCCTAAATTCAGACACTTTCAGCCAGCTATTATCAAGAGACCACATTTTAAGAGCAGATGTGTTATTAAGGCTGAGAAATGTTATGAGTACTTCATGATCTGACAAATGAATTCAGGCTATCCAGCATTCCAGCATTTGATCTTTTAATAATTCAAAAACCGAAATGAAAACTGCTGGGGGTAGGGGAGGCTTTTCCACCAGAACCTGACCTGGCGTTTTAGGTCTTGCTTGGATTTGTTGGGAATACTGGTAGAGGAGCTCTGGGGCACATGCAGCTAATGTTTTTGTTTCTTGTGATAGCGTTAGACCTCTGCCTCATGAGTCATTCCCCAATTTTGCCACGCACCTGGCTAAAGGATAGGTTTGTATGGATACCACAGCATTAGGCAGCAATCAGAGAGGCAAGCCTGGCTTTGATCTCCAGCTCACAGTGTGTGCTGCCTGTCACAGAGCTCTTCTGCCCCATGCATGTCCCAGGCAGGGGGCTGGGCTGTGCCCAAAGGCTGCAATCGGGCAATGGTTTGTCTGGCCAGTGCGAGAGCTCGTCCATGGTTCTTTGGGCAGCACATATACTGATTGTTGTGGCTGATCTGAAGTGGGGATCTAAAGAAACTGCTCATTTCCTTCCCTCCCGTGGGATATCTTCTGCAAGAAATGAGCACAAGAATCTCCCTCACCAGAGCCAGAGATCACTGTGTGGTTGGCACCACATCTCCGCAAAGCTCCCAGAGCAATTTCTCATCCCAGGGCCCAGGCTGCATGCCTGTTCAGGTTCTTTTAATGGAAAATCTTTGGAGATAGGGGCAGATATATTGTAGCAAAGAGAAATTCAATTTAGGAACTGCATTACCAAGGACCAGATCTAGTGGGGGGAAGCTACAGGTAAAGCTACCATAGGTGTTTAAGTGATTCAGGTGCTCTGACTAAAACTGTCACGCACTTCTGGAATATCTGCTCTGTGTGTCTCCATGGAAAAACTTCCAGGTTCTCCTAAATACTCTCGACTATAACATCTGCATTTTTAGGGCTGGAGAAGAGCTGCAGGACCCAAAATGAGACAGGCTGCAAGAAGCATGAGGGACCTTTAGGAGCGTCTCACAGCACCCCCGTCTCTTTTAGGCTGGATGTGCCACTACCGGCAGCAAGAACACAGTGCAGTGGTCCAGGAACCAAAGCCAAGCGCTGCTCAGACATGCCATCTGTAAAAAATAATGATGTCCTCCTCCCCAGCATTCTGGGTTTTTTACTTCAATTTGGTCATTCTGAGCTTTTCTGATCATTAGAAAAAGCCAGGGCTCCTCAGCGGGTTTGTTTAAAAAGCATATTTAAATATCTTTTACTTCTGAGCTGAAAAAGAAGCAGCCTGCATAGAAACCTAGTTTTCCTCACTCCGATGTACCACATTTTAAATTCAGAAACAAAGAGATACACATGGGTAAGTGAAAGCACATCTTGTGGAGCTCATCTGAGAGCTGCTACATGTTTCAGACTAAAGCACAACCTGCCGACCACACCATCAGAGGAAGAAATGAGAAATTACGAGGGTCACTGGGCACTCCAT